AAAACTAAATACTATGAATGAAATTTACGAACTCCAAAAAATTAACAGATTTTCTAGCTCTTCAGAACCGTGCTTATATTTTAGTTTGCCAATGAAACATATACAGTGGAACCTCGCTTAACGATTTAATCCGTTCGAAAATTTCCGGATTTTTACGTTTTCCCATATAAACTAATGTAAATTACGATAATCGTTCCTTGCGGAAGAAAAAGTATAACTTGGTCTCGATTTTTAATGATTTTGCTTTTCATATCTATGGTTCTTTTAATTCTTTGGTTTTTTATTCGAAGACATGCCAGAGTTATGAAATTTTGCACAAAAAATATTTGAAAAGTATAGTCCGTTTTAAACAAAGATGTAGAATCACTCGTTATGCGAAACGTCGCTCGTTAAGCGAGTCATTTTTCTTACAATTCAATTTGCTCCTTAAGCGAGGTTCCACTGTACTTTTAAAGACACAAGATTCGTGGAGAAAGAAAGAAATTTCTATTAATCATACACTTTCACAAATATTAATTACCGACGCACTCCTGTACGAAATCAAACTAAATGTAAGTTTATCAATGTAAAATTGTATTACACACATGTGTGTATGCAAATTACAAGGATGTCTGTATGCATCATATAGTAATTTACAATGTAGATATTGTGTTGCTGACCTTACTTTTCACGTCGCAACATTACTACAACGTTAGCGTCAATATTCTAATTAACGCAGAAACATTTTTGTACACGAATAAGTGTTTCCGGTTTAGAATAATAATATAAAAACATAATATATATTAAAAATAGTCGACACGCAATGTTAATTATAATTAATACTACAGACGTTAATTAAAAAAAATAACGAATAAATGATCTTAATAGAATTGAAATGATTTGACTACGAAGATAATTTGTTATTAGAAACTATATAATAAGTGCAATTTCCAATGTGAAAGGTAAATGTAATAAAATGAAGTACTAAAGTGATAGTGTTTATGTAAAGACTTATATTGTATATCCGTTTTATATTTGCGTCTTTGTTTTTATTTATAGATATGAGTTATGTAGATGACTAAACTTTATGTTTACTATTAAACCGCTATTATGTTTACTTAGTAAAAACGAAAATAATTTAAACATATATTTTACAAACGTAAAAAACTTGTAAATTATTTTGAAAATACACAATAAAAATGTATTTTTAAGGCTATTATTCGTACTTTACTTTATATAAAGTCAAAGACCTCTAGATTTTGGAACAACTGGAGTGTTACGCATTGTTTTGACGCTGGTTGAGTAGGTAAACTGTTGCAATTTATTCAGTTTTTTTTTTAGTGATTCAAATTTATTCTATGATCTTTTTGGTACAAACAAAAATGTACATTTTTATAGTCGTATATATGATACTTAGTGTACGTAAATAATCTAATGTGTTAAGTAGTCGTGCAGATGAGAAGATTTTTGGTTAAATCTCGTTTTTTTTTTATGTCAAGGTTGGAGAAAAGAAACGGTTCAGATTTTCTAGATGCGGACGAGCACATACGAAATTTCTCCCGATCGTATTAATTAAATCGGAATTCATGACCGTATTGCATTATTCTCTCAGATCGCGTTGACTTTCACCGTATTCCACTAAATACAAAAGAGAGAAAAAAAAGAGTATATTATAGTATGTGGAGGAAAATGCACTCGTTTACATATTATCATTGTAATATGTGCGTAGCGCAAATCGTGTTTGAAAATGTATATTTACAGTTCTTTCGTGCAATATTTAATAATGTGTAATTATCTGGTAGTTATTCCTCTTGATTGCGAAAGCTGATGATCGCGACTGAAGAAGTAGGGGGGAAAAACGGTCTGGTTGTAATTTCGTAGTTTCCCAAATAACAAGGCATACCTCTTTCGCTCTTGTAAAAATGAGCATGTTGTCTGTGCTCAAGAGGAATCTGAGCAAGTCTTCGGCGAAGATCAGCGTGTTCAATGTGCAAAGTGCGCCAGTGGTTTTGAATAAATGTAATAACGATAACGTCGAGTGGACGGAGGCGGCGTCATACGAGGATGTGCCTGGACCCAAACCCTTTCCCTTGCTCGGAAATAATTGGAGATTTATACCTTACATTGGTTAGTTTGATTTATTTTTTATTAACAATTATTATTCATTTTGTTTTCAAATTAGGTAATTTTCAAATAGAGCACATCGATAAAGTCTCTAAGAAGTTGCACGAAAAGTATGGGAATGTAGTCAAGATTGGAAATTTACTGGGCCGACCGGACATGCTATTTCTGTTCGATCCCAATGATATTGAAAAGATTTTCAGGCAGGAGGATGTTCTACCCTTAAGACCATCCATGCCCTCTCTAAACTATTACAAACACAAGTACAAAAAGGATTTTTTCGGAGATGTCGGAGGCGTTATTGCGGTGTGCGTATGTTATAACTTACATATTTTTTTAAATATCTAAACGACTATTATCGATTTTCAGTCACGGGGACGAATGGCAAACATTCCGCACCAAAGTCAACCAGGTGATGATGCAACCGCGTGTTGCCAAAATGTACATTAAAACTATTGAGAATACAGCGAAGGAATTTGTCGCCAGGCATGTGTTAAATTATCTTTTTTATTTTTCAAATAAATCAAGATGTTTTAAATTATTATTTTTAATATTCAGAGTTGACCAATTGAGGGATGAGAATGATGAAACGCCGGCAGACTTTCTGAACGAAATCCACAAGTGGTCATTGGAGTGTAAGAAATTTCACACGAACAGTGCTTAATTACGAATGCATTGCATATTGAGTACACGCAACCGTATTTTGAAATAATTATTGTTTAATTATTTTTCGCAGCCATAGCAAAAGTTGCGTTGGACGTGAGATTGGGTTGTTTCGATGAAAACGCAGACCCTGACACCCAACGGCTGATCGACGCGGTGAATACGTTCTTCATAAACGTTCCCATTTTGGAATTGAAAATTCCTTATTGGCGTTTATTCAATACGCCCACGTTCAAGGAATACATCAAATCATTGGAAACGATAAGAATGTAATTTTCGATCGGTTTCATTTGTAGCCAATATATAATATGATTAAATTTTGCAGTATATGTCTGAGGCATGTAACTGAGGCTATGAACAATGCGCGAAACAAGGACGAACACGAAAAATCTGTGCTGGAAAGAGTACTGCAATTAGATAACGATGCCAAGATCGCAACGATATTAGCGTTCGATCTGTTCCTGGTAGGAATCGATACGGTAAGTCAAGGTGCACTTTCACTTTCCAAAAAGGTCAAGATTATTGTGTTTTTTCAGACATCCAATGCCGTCGCTTCGATTCTCTATCAATTGGCGTTGCATCCAGAAAAACAGTCAAAATTGCATTCTGAAATAAGTTCCATATTATGCGATGGTGACGACGAACTGGACGCAAACAAATTGGAGAAAATGAGTTACCTTAAAGCGGTGATTAAAGAGACTCTAAGGTTGTAAATTAAGCAAATCTATTGTAAATTTGTGTTAATGAAAAAATGCTTAATATTTAGGATGTACCCTGTAGTTATTGGAAATGGTAGATGCACAACGAAGGACTGCGTTGTCGGTGGATATCAAATACCTAAAGGGGTATGATGCATCAATTTAACACTTAAGCAAAGCTAAATTGTTGTTAATATTTTAGGTTCAAGTGGTTTTTCAGCATTACGTGATAAGTAATATGGAGAAATATTTCAAGAGGAGCGATGAGTTTTTACCTGAAAGATGGCTGAAGTCAGGTTGTCCGGTTGGACTCAAGGACAACCATCATAATTTCGCAAGTTTACCGTTCGGATTCGGTAGGAGGATGTGTCTGGGTCGACGATTTGCAGAACTCGAAATACAAACCGTCATTGCCAAGGTACTAGGATCGATTAACAAATTTAAAAGTCGATGTCTTGATATTAACCATATTCAATTACAGATCGTTCAATCGTACAAACTGGAATACAACTACCAAAAATTAGACTATCACATACATCCGATGTATACGCCGGATGGACCGTTGAAAATAAAGTTTACGAAGAGGAATTAACTTATTCCGAATATTTATATGTTTATATTTAAATTAAGTGTTATTAATTTTGTATTATATTATAACAATAAAATCGCAGCAAATATACATCTCTATTTTACATATATAATAGTATTATTTACTTTTGCAATTGGCATGAACTAAATTATTTCTTGTTGAAACTACATACCTTTAAGCTTTTATATATTTACAAAGCAGTTTCGCGGTTTAGTAGCATATATCCGGAATGAGATATTGAATGTTTTAATTTATTACACGCTGAGGTTACCCGCTTCCTATACTTATATATTAAGAAACCTACACTATATAGTTGGAAGTGTGTACATATTTGTTTTAAAAATAATTGTTATAATAATATTTATTGTAATTTCTGTAAATTATTGTTGTAATTTACAGAAATTAGAAATAAAAGTCAATTAAATAAATAGTATCTTATAACAAAATTGCGGTTTTTCCACAAAACCGATATGTTAACATTTAAATATAACATTTTTACTGGAAGCATATCGGCATATCCTGTAGATATGTTATCAATGTTTGAATTAAATTGTTACTTGTTAAATGGGCGCGATGATTGCCGCACGCGTTTTCTGCCTACTTTTTGGAATCCTTCACATCGTGACATCTCAAAGGAAACCAAGCTTCGCTAATTATTCCGGCGATGCGCGAAACAACTACGCCCTTTGGTTGCTGAACGGAGCGCCGGATACGAAAGTAGAGTTTCCCGGCTACGATGGCTGGTACAACAACTTGGCACGCCCTGATTCCGGAGCTATAGGTATGCATTCTTATAACTCTTAAGTAGATTTCCACTCTCATTTCTACTCTTCCAGATAAACCGTTGCTTCGTAGAAGCCCTGCAGCATACGAAGATGGTACCTATCTACCAGCGGGAAGCGATAGACCGAATCCATTCGAATTGAGCGACAAGTTGCTCAGCGGTCCGATAGGATCGCAATCGAAAACCGGAAAAAATGCGTTGCTCGTTTTCTTCGGTAAGTTAAAAGCAAATATCGTTAAGAATTGAATCCACTAAATGTTAAATATCAGGGCAACAAGTGGTGGAAGAAATTTTGGACGCACAACGTCCAGCCTGTCCACCAGAGTACTTTAATATCAAAATACCGGAATACCATAGATATCGTAATCTCAGCAAGCACACGGAAATGCCTTTGCTCAGAACACGGTTCGATCAACGTACCGGGCTGAATCCGAACAATCCTCGTCAGCAATTGAACGAAATCACACCTTACATAGACGGCGGTTTGATGTACGGTATTAGCAAGCAATGGGCAGATCAGCTAAGGACTTACTCTAACGGTACCATAGATCCAGACGGGATGTTGGCTTCTTCCCACGATGGACTTTTTCCTGAGTATAATACCCATAGATTGCCATTAGCGAATCCACCACCGCCATTCCATCACAAAGAGTTTATAGAGAATCATGAAATCTTTAACGTCTCCCGTTTCTTTAGTAAGTTATTTGCATCTAAACCTTTTCCTAGTTGATTTCATGTTGCGTTTATTTTCAGAATTAGGTAATCCCAGAGGCAACGAGAATACATTTTTATTAACATTCGGTATACTTTGGTTCCGTTGGCATAACTATTTGGCCAAGAGCATAAGAGGTTTACATAGGGATTGGCCCAGCGAGAAGGTGTTCAATGAGGCAAGGAAATGGGTCATCGCTACGCAGCAGCATATAATCATGGACGAGTGGCTTCCATCCTGGATCGATCCCAGTCACATACCTGCATACAGAAGTTACGACGCGAGCATCGATCCGCAGATAGATCAGTTCTTTCAAGCAGCTGCTTTCCGTTTCGGGCACACTCTCGTCACGCCCGGCGTTTACATCAGAGACTATCAAAGAAGTAATTGCGCCACGACAATATCGAAACCAGTTCGCACGTGCAATGCCTTTTGGCGACCGCAGGACGCTATCCAGAAGAGGATCGGTAATTTGTATGTCGACATTGATAGAGTCCTCATGGGCATGGCTATGCAGATGTGCGAAAAAGAGGACCACAAGATTGTAGAGGACCTGCGAGGAAACGTTTTTGGCCCATTGGAATTTCCTCGAAGAGATCTAATGGCTATTAATATCCAGAGAGGCAGAGAACACGGTCTGCCCGATTTCAATTCAGCTAGGAAAGCCTACAATCTGCCTCGAGTCGATAGCGTCGATCATTTTCCCGATGACGTTAATCAAACTGTATGAATTGCAATATCAAACTTGGTGAACGCTTAATTAATTCTCTTTCATTTTCAGATTAAAGATGAACTGATGAGATTGTATCAGAACAATTTCGATAATATCGATACTTGGGTTGGAGGAATACTGGAAACGCGCGATGGACCAGGCGAACTTTTTGAGGCAATCATTATCGATCAGTTCCGAAGAATCCGAGACGGGGATAGATTCTGGTACGAAAATTTGGCAAACGGGTACGTCAATAACTTACAAATAATCGATTTGACCAAATTCGATCGTATTTTATATTTATAGATTGTTCACGAGAGACGAAGTAACACGGATCAAAAGCATCACTCTTTACGATATTATTATGACTGTGACTATGCTGGATTCGAATGATATTCAGACAAATGTTTTTCGTGTGCCTACCAGTAATGAACCGTTTGCAATTTGTAGACTACAACAGAGCAATTGCACTGAAAGAGGCAGGACGATGCCGTGCTTTCATTTGCCAATATTAAATGAGGCTGTGCTAAACGAAACGTGTTTACAAGGTTCCACTTACGATTACTTCTCCAATAGCGAAGCATCGTTTATTTTAACATTTACTATAGTATCAGCAATAATCGCAGGATTAATTGGAGCCATTTATACTATGGTCTATTTCAAACAGAAAAGTGTTGAATCTTTGTCATCTATAACGCCGGCTGCAAGCGTAATCCAAGATGGTTTAAATATCAGAAAGAGTAATTAAAGTAACACGTAATTAATTTCGAGCGTTTCAGGCATAGTTTCCAAAGAAATGATTAACAAACGGGGAGCCACGAGGCTTGTGATCGTCAATATAACTGGTACCCATATAAATGTATTATCTGGAAATGGGGTGCGTCTGCGAAAATTGGATTGCAAAAATGGTGTTACCTGCATTTCGACCATCGACAAACCATATATCGTGATAAAACCGCGAAACGAATACGATTTGGTAAATATTACTATTATTGTATGTTTCATTTGATAAATAATATTATCTGCATTATAGGTATTAACATTTGAAAGTCACAATATTCAGTTCCATGCTTACAATAAAATAACACAATCGTTGCGAGGCTCTAGTTGCACCGTGAACGAAGAAGCAAATAGAACGTTCAAATCGTTATTACCGACGTTGGTGTCCAAGAAGCAACGGCAGAAACAATTAGAGGTTTTCTGTCGCGTGGTTTTCGCTCAAGCATTCAAATTACCTCACAACAAAAAGGAACTGCTCTCGACTGACTCTAAGATTGCGGATATAATGAAAATGGAATTGACTTTAGAAGAGTTCAGCAATCTGCTCAACATGAGATCGGACTCGCAGTTCGTTAACTTGATGTTCAAACTGATTGATGTCGACTTGAACGGATTCGTCTCGTTCGGTGAATTCTTGAACCTCATGGTTATCTTCTCCGAGGGTACCACCGTCGATAAAGCAAGGCTACTCTTCGACATGTACGATATCGAACAAATTAAGTCGTTACCAATAGAAGCGTTCAAGGATATGATTCTGTAAGCAAGCTTCTTTATATGTTACCAAATCGTTTTGTTTACCTTTTTTCTTAGATCTTTCATGGAAAACGTAACTGGTAACATTAAAAACGAAGACTTGAAGGTGACCATCGATAGTTTGATGAAACAAGCTAATCTGCAGAATAAAACTGCACTGGACTTTCAAGATTTCATGAGAGTGATTGGTGAAGACGGAGTGCAGCATCTTGAAAATGTCAATTTGCAATTCAAGTACGGTTCCACAAACATGCAACAAATTGAAAATTCCAGGCAACACATCATCGAAGATATATACGGGTAACTGCGTTAACTATCCGAATACTATTGATTACTATTAAAACAATGTGTTAATTATTATTTTCAGAACGATTGGTTCGAATTCTGCACCCCAAGAAAATGTCGCTAACAATTTAAGCGATAATCGAGCACTCACAGATATGACAAAAATGTTCGCTTTCGTAAAGGATATAGAGAAAAATTCAACGGTTATATTTTGGAAATTTTTGTATACTTTAATACTTCTATCGATTTTCGCAGAAAGAGCTTATTGTAAGTTGAAAAAGTTTGATAACCAGATGATAATGTTATTTTTTTCAGACTATTCTGTGGAAAGAGAGCATTCTGGTCTAAGACGTATAGCAGGATACGGTGTGACGGTGACTAGAGGAGCGGCTTCGGCAATGATGTTTACCTATTCTTCATTACTAGTTACCATGTGTCGAAATTTAATCACCATACTAAGAGATACGGCACTTCATCAATATTTTCCTTTCGATGCATCCGTCGATTTTCATAAATACATAGCGTATTGGGCTTTCGTATTCACAAGTAATTTTAATCTATTAATTTCATGCATTATAATTTCTTTAACAACATTTTGCATTTGTAGTAATGCACATTGTTGGACATGCATTCAATTTCTACCACATATCCACGCAAACGGCGGACGATCTCACCTGTCTATTTCGAAATTATTTCCACGCGTACGTATACTTTTCTAATTCGTTTAATAAATCAGTTGATTGAGTTTAAATTTAGGACTCACGAGATACCAAAATTCCATTACTGGTGCTGGCAAACGATGACAGGATTCACCGGAATCGTATTAACAATAATAGCAGGTATAATATATGTGTTTGCGCTGCCGATAGCCAGATCGAAACTCTATAATGTCTTCTGGATTTCGCACTCGATATACCCACTGTTCTATATTTTCTTGATACTCCACGGCAGTGGAAGATTAATTCAGGTAATGATCTAATCTACGAAAATATTATGTATAATCTACGAAGATATTATGCTAACTTTTCAGGAACCGTTCACGCACTATTTCTTATTGGGTCCTATAATTCTTTTCACACTTGATCAAATTATAAGTATAAGCAGAAAGAAGATAGAATTCCTAGTCGAAGAAGCAAAAATTTTACCATCTAATGTCACGATGCTGAAGATCCACAAACCAACACAGTTTTCGTACAAATCAGGGCAGTGGGTTCGTATTGCCTGTTTAGAATTGAACAGGCACGAGTACCATCCTTTCACGTTATCCTCGAGTCCCGATGAACCGTTCTTGTCTGTTCACATCAGAGCAGTCGGACCGTGGACTCGACACATTCGCACTTTGTACGATGAAGCTGTGCAATATAACAAACCGTTGCCGACGTTGTTCATTGACGGTCCATTCGGGGAAGGCCATCAGGATTGGTACAAGTACGAAGTTTCCGTTTTGATCGGTGGTGGAATCGGTGTCACTCCGTTCGCCAGTATACTCAAAGACATCCTTTTTAAAGCAAGCATTAACCAGCAAGTCCCTTCGAAGAAGGTAAGAGTTATCAGCAGTATGTTAGAGTTTACCCGACAGTTGTAACGTTTCAGGTCTACTTCCTGTGGGTATCCAAAACTCAAAAACAATTCGAATGGCTCATAGATCTGTTGAGGGAAGTCGAGAAGCGCGATGTGAATAAAATCATTTCGAATCACATTTACGTTACGCAATTTTACGAGAAGTTTGACTTGAGAACGATCATGCTGTTTATTTTCGAACGCCACTTCAAAAGGATTACTAACAAATCGCTGTTCACGAACCTAAATGCAGACACGCATTTCGGACGTCCCGTGTTCAAGGATTTCTTCAGAAGAGTCATCATGCACAACACTTTCGATATAAATAAGATCGGAATTTTCAGCTGCGGTAGTCCGACCATGGTAAACGCTGTCGAAGAAGCGTGCATCGAAAATAACAAATCCGATGAGCAAATAATTCTGGAACATCACTACCAAACTTTTTAGGAGCGCGCTTTATTCCAATTTTAGATGTTGCCATTAGCGAAATAGCTATAAATTAACTTAATATAATTATATAAAATATATCAAACGCTTCTTATTATGATTATAGTGAATTGCAATAGAAAATATTATTCTATTTACAGTCAGCAGGAATATCAAGCAAAATCAATGAATGAATGAATGTTTTGTACAAACCATTTTTTTTTCTACATGTTTTATTTAATATCTCCATTGTTAATTTTCTATTGTACGTACAAATAAATAAATTACATCATAATTTGTGCATCCACATTTATTAAGTGTAACAAATCGCAATTGCGGTTTAAAAGTCCCAATTCATCCCAGGTGCAACTGTTGATTATATCGATTTGCAACATCCAAAAGTGTATCCAATTTATCAATAATACAAGTGATATACATCAATCAGAAATAAGGAATATCTTACAATATAAACTATTTTATTCTGCTAATGGCAAGCGATGCGATGTGCTGCGTTCATTATTCATTTTAATTAAGAGAATAATATTTGCAAATTCATCGATTTCGTTAACGTCTGTAAGGATAGCATGAGAAATCATTCTCATCATCATGCTCGAGGAACAGAAATTGAAAAAACTAAAAGTAAGTTCTTGTTTAATTGTGATATAATTTAAAACTTTGTTTCTCCTTTACAATGCACAAAACATACATTGTGTGTTTATACTAGGCATCAGTAAATAAATGGTAGCTTCTTATATTTAAATAAGGAACTAAAAAATATAAGTAACATTACATCAAAATTGTATGTAACACATTGTTTTTTTTTGTTACTATGCTTCTCTTAATAAAGCATAATTATTATTATGATTATTATAAATTAACATATTATTGAAATACGAGCTGTAGCAAAATTATATATATATAATATTTATATATTAGCAAATATAGAACGAACTACACAGCTTTGTTGCTGCTCGTCCAAGTAGAAATATGTTTGTTTTGTTTTTAAATTAACTAAGCAATTTGAAACGAACCGAAAAGATAATACGTACAAAAAGAAATCACCAATTGTATCAAAATAAGGTATGAAACAGCAAATTTATTCTTTACTATCATTTTACGGATTGATTTTATGAACAATCCATTTTCTCTTGCGATTCGCCGCCTTCTTTTGCCTCCTCCGCTTTTTGCTCCGTGTTATTTTCTTTTGGGCCGTCCTTCGCTTCTTCTTTTGGTGGGGATGGAGCCTTTGGTTGGGGTTTATTTAAAATTGGATTAATGATGCTATCGAAGCTGGATCTCTCTCCGCGAATCTGTTGGACGGTGATCGGAACTTTCTCGTATTTCTGTACGACAGCCAATTTCTGTCTAGCTTCTTCCAACCACTTGTACGATGCGTTCACGGCATTCTCCACTTTCTTCAGATCCTCGTCAGTCAGATGAGCGTATTTCGGATTATTTGACCTGAAATAATAATTGTTGAGTATAAAACAAATAATCGTAACATTTATTATTACGAGCATTCACCTCATTTGTTCAACAGCCTTCATTCCCAGTTGTAGGCTTCTTTGCAGGTCTTCAATGACAGACGGTCTAAGCTCAAATTCCAATTTTCTCATCTGAATAGGTTCTCCTTTGCTCTTCAGATCCGTCAATTTGTCTTGGTATTCTTGACGATTGCAATCCTCTCCTTCTTCGTACAGCCAATTTTCCATTTGATCGAGTTGACCAACGAGCATTTCGCGATCCTTATCCAAGACAAATGGAGCCAAATTATCTTCATCGGTAAGCTTACCACGCAATTCATATACGTATTCTTCCAATGCGTTGCGTCCATCTGCTCTTTCCTTTTCTTGCCTATCAGCTGCAAATGTATTTCACAATTAGTATTAATTCTAGTCATTCAACTAAAGCAATAGTATACCTGCAATCATCTTAAATTCCTGTTCGGTATATTGATTAAGCTCAACCTGCGAGAAACCAAATGCCAAAGATTCAATTGGTAATTCAACAGATTTGACAATCTTCTTCTTCTTTTCCTTCTTTTCATCGCCATCCTAATACAAAAAAAAAATAATTATATTATTGACAGCTTAATTTGTTTATGATTTCATAAGTAATGTGGTTGAAATGGGTCACAACAGCGTTTAGCGAAAGCCATAAAATGATAAAATACGGCAAACAAAAAAAATCAGCACTCTTGTACAAAACGAGCAACGAAAAATATAAACTATAGTGTTAAAAATTAATGACTCGTCTTTTTTGTGCCACCAAAACCATCACACATAATCTATTATTGGCTATTAATTATAGACGTGATAATGCGAATGGATATAGCCGGGCATTGGCCAGGGCTAAATGAGCGTACCCGGCCGAACCAGCCTGATATTTTCTTCGTCCAGCTGGGGCCTACCTCAGGTGCTCCATTAGTAGTTTCGGTCTGCGACTCTTGAGTATCCTGAGGTTCACCGGCCTGCTTTTGTGCTTCAGGTGCGGTAGGTGATGGTTCAGTTTCCATTGATTCCTCTTTGCTTTCAATCAGCGATGCACTGCTGACCGTCATAATGCCATGGATATTAACGCGAACTTTGACTTTAATTTTCTGAGATTTTCCTTCGGCAGATGGTTTAACGTCTTTCACAACCCAGGTGCCTACATAAAAAAAGATAATCATTTTAATGAGAACAAAGAAAAAGTCAACAAAATATGAAATCTTACCAATATATTTATCTGGATATGGAATATCTCCGCAGTATTTGGCCTGAATAGAGAATGGCTCTTGCCTGTAGAACGCCAACATTTTGGAAAATGGAACTGCATGGTTTACAGGGAAAACTTCGACTTCTCCAGCGTTTTCACCATCAACACCAGCTTCCCAAGATACACTAATTGGATAATCCTAAACATAAAATCATACATCATACATTTTATACAAGATTTAATATTAATAACTGCATACCTGCACATCAGTAATACTGAATTCTCGTACACGTACGGCCGGTGATAACATCGCACATTGAAGAGCACAACCGCGAGAAACAGATTCATCTTGATTCAATGTGGTGCTAGGTGTTCTTTGGAAAACTTTTTCTATTCTCTGTTTAATAGCTGGAATTCTAGTAGATCCACCAACAATTTCAACTGAATGGATATCATCCACTTGAAGACCTTCAATATTTTATTTATTAGAAATCACCAACGATAGATAATCTACAATTAATTACCTGATTTTTCTAGACAAGAGGCTAATGTCACCTCAACTTTCTCAAAAAGATGGGCGCATAACTCCTCCATATCCGCCCTTTTTACGGTGCCATGGACATCCTTATCTTCCATGAAACATTCGATATTCAATGGTAAGGTCGTTTGATTCGCGGACATTTGTTTCTTTATCTTTTCGACCTCTGCCAGCAGACGGGTGAATGCACGGGCATTGGTCCTCGCGTCAATTTTGTATTTCGTTTGAAATTCTTTGCAGAAGTATTCAGCAAGGATGAGATCAATATCCCTACCGCCAAAGTTAGGGTCAGAAGCAGTTGCAAGCATACGCAATTTGCCTTTGTGGTATGCACACGCAAACACTTGGAGGGCCGAATGGCCGCAATCGACGAAGATCACGTTCCTCGGTTTCTCCTCGGGTGCTGGCAAATCTTGCTTGTAAATGCCGTAGCTGAGTGCTGTCGCCGTTGTTTCATTGAAGAGTCGCAACACGTTCAAACCTACACAGAAAGAGCAGTTAATATTTTGCAGGAAATTACGTTTGCAAAATTAACGAACCTGCGATTGCAGCAGAATCAAGAAGGGCCTTTCTCTCGTTGTTCGTGAAATAAGAGGGAACGGAGATGACACAATCATTGATTGGCGTTTGGAGTGCGTGCATCGAATCATCTTTGAGTTTGGTAATCAACATAGCCAAACATTGTTCCGGCGAGAAAACATGTTCTTCGCCAAGGTAGTTTACCTGTCGAACAGAAGAAAGAGATGTAAAATGTTTTAATATTTAAATTCGCAGTATGAATCATCCTGCAAGTATCAAGGTCCCACACCATATTTAAAATATTTTCTCATTTTACAAATACTACACTTTCCAGTTAAGTAACATGAAGTCCATATATACAGACAGACTTGATTTTCTTTCATTTCAATTGAAAAACAAATATACATTCAAATAGTTTGCAACTTTCTTCAAAATTAAACAGCACCAAAAGTAAGATAATGATGTTAGCTTACATATTGATTGAATCTTACCTTAATACCAATGTTTCCATTAGCTGTTTCAATGGCATTGTATGGAAGTATCTTCAGCTCCTTCTGTACATGAGGATCCCTGAATTTCCTGCCCAACAATCTTTTCAGACCATAAACTGTGTTCTTCATATTGGTTACTTGCTGGTTCTTTGCAGCAACTCCAAGAATACGGTTCTTTCCAGAAAAGGCAATACATGATCTACAAAAAACACAAAATACACATCATCATCTAGATAATAATTATTTTTATTTCATAATTATATGTGCTTATTACTGTCCTCGATGATCAGTTGTAAAATCCTATAAGATTCAATAAAAAAAAATTCCCGGACTGTTCCACAATCCAAGGATTGCCGAGATTTGGAAAGACCAAAATTTAATAATTGCGATTGGCGCGTATTATATTTTTATTTTTAACCTTTTAGTCATGTTTTTCTAAATACGTTGGGCATGTGAAATTGTGGCATTTATATGTACCAACGTACGATAAATTTCTGTTAGAAATATCGTCCTCCCACTTGGGAATATCAAATCTATTAAATACAAAACGAATTCCGCGTTCATCCGAATTAGGCAAAATCTTGACGAAATACCTTGAAAATACGATTGCCATGTGCTACGCGAATTTACATAATTCTAGAAAGGCATGACAGTCTTTTTTTTTTTTTCGTTACTCTCTCTCTCTCTCTCTTTCTCTATGTATTACCGAATATGATATAACATCAATTAATCGATAATAAAGAAATGTTCAATATGTACGGTTGTACAAGGGGGGAATACTCACGGTGTAGCCCTTAAACTGTAATCATTGGCGATGGTCTCAATTCCACCTGCTTTAGCTACAGCTACATAACAGGATTCACTGCCAAAGTCGATACCAATTACTGACATAGCTGCCATTTTATTCCCTCGTGTTAATTGTACGTGCGTTCCGGTTTAAATGCGATGAATGGAATGGAAATTCACTGAAAACTCGTAAATACACCTCACACAATGTGCCGGCAGAAAGTACCAGTTACAACTATTTGCAGTTTTCCTTCCGTCGCCACAGTACCAACTGCCAACGTTAAAGAAATTAATTTGGTTCTGGAACTTTCCGGAACGCGATCCTCCGTCCTCGTCCGTGTTATCTCTATCGATTTCCGCGATGAATACAGCCGGACGCACTTCGAATCTCATTCAAAAACTACCAATTCCATTTAGTCTATCGTCAATTATCGTAATTCGATTCACTTATTCAAGCTGTTTCATCCTGTTGCGACTAACGACATCTACCGCTAATGACATAGAGTCAGTTAGTCATAGGTTTCTATTGAATTCTAGAATGGCCGTTATATAAATTATGAAACTTATCGATCTAATCATGAAAACTAGATTATAGATAAGGTCATATTAAAACGAATTCTTAACTTATGTTCGTTTCGACTTCTTACTAATTCTTATACAACTAATCATGTTAAAATCAATACTTTGTTTATATATGTTTAACAATTGGGAAAAAAAAACATTGTAATTAAAATTATATAACTGACTAAATCACTATTCTATCCTTTTCTTGTCTATAGTTCTAGAATTCTTGAGATGTCCTTGCGTGCGTGTCCTTGTCTATTCAGTAATTATTTATTGTTAGATTTTCTTTTTTTGTCGCACACGACAAATTTCAATTGATCACTCAAATACAACACTGTCGCTACATCAATTTTGTGCGATTTCTATTGTCTTTAATTAACTAACAAATTAAAGACAATACAATTGGACTCTACATTAATATCAAACATTTTTATAAAATTACTTTTTCATAATAAATCAATCACCGTGAATAACAGGATGATCAACTAGTATTTATTGAAGCAATTTATTGATATCAACACAAAAACAACATTCAACCTATGATATAATCTGTCAGTATTTGTACAGAAATTTGATATTAGAAGTGTGATGTTATAATATGGTTTTATATATAAACCGCAAGGTCAATGAAATTTCATAAACAGGACGTTTATTCATGTGGATGATAAGATCATTAAATGCTGATGAAAATCCGTTAAATAACGTCTAGGTGTTAGTTACATCGATGTTAGCACTTTTGATATTGTTGAAAGGTCATTTTCACGATACGATAATGGATGGAGTAAACGTGATCTTTACACTGATGACCGTAATTTGCACAAATAAAGAGACCAGAATCGATTAGTTCGTCGAAGTGGGGGGGTTAATTAACAAAACGCAAATGATCTTGGAATAACATATTCTTTGTACTTTGGTATCCAGACAAGAAAACAATATGATAAATATTTTTATATAGCAGTATATTTATAAAGATGTAGATTTTCAGAGCATTCCACCTTTAAATGCTCATCTCATAAAATATAATTCAATTCAACAATAGTTCTTTTTTTTTGTTGGTTGGTTTGTTTGTTTGTTTTAAATAAATAATAAAGAATCTATAATATGTATATCATCTTGTGTGTAGTATTTGAATAGGCAAATAATATGTATGTATATATATATTAAATAATTATCTTATATACTTGATTTTATATATTATTATTATTATTAAATCATAATAATTCAACCACAAACATAAAATGCTCTATAATTTCTATACAATAAAATAAGAAGAAGAAGCAAACATTTCATCAAAATAAATTCCAAACGACAAACAATATCATAGAACAAAAGAGCAGTTTATGTGTATTAAGATTACTGTACAAATTAAAGAAAACACATTTTCTTGGTGTACTTCAAGAATAGTACATTCAAAGATATATAGATATATATATATATATATTTATATGGTAAAGAAAGTAAGCATAATAAAAATTAAATAAATAAATATGTAAAGAATATGTCGGCTCTATATATTATGTTTTTTTTTGTCGTTCCTCTTTTTATGTTTCTTTCGGTTCATTTCCCCGATTTACATGTATTTGCTTAAATAAAAAATATAGGATAAGATTTTAAGGGCAATCATGCGAGACAGTTTCATTTCTCGACATTATGGCAATTAAAATGTGTGTCGCAATTGTAATATTTAAAGGTCAGACTCTCCGTACAGCGCCGTAGAAAAGGACATGTAATCCAAAGCACCGGGAACGGCTCCAGCTGCTTTGTATGGTGGCATACGCTGGATGCAGTATTCGGCTTGATCTGGCGGCAATTCCCTTCTCAATTCATCAGGTAGAATGTATGGCTGTGAACATAACAACAAAACATGGATTAATGATATATAAAAGATACAATCATTTGACATTGTAATATCATACCTTATCGGCTGCGAGAATGCGGAAGCTGTCGATGACCTGTTCAGCTGTATCTGTGTCGGTGCTCTCCCTGGTCATGAAATCGAGGAAAGCGTCAAAGTGCACGAAGCCACTGTTGTTGGGGTCGACGACGGCCAAAATTCTTTGGAAATCGATGTCACCTTGTCTATCTTTGCCGATCGAATAGCCCAGAGACACTAGGCAAGATTTGAATTCGTCAGGAGCTAATCTGCCGGTTCTGTTCTTGTCGAAGTGGTTAAAGGACGATCTAAATTCATTCAATTGCTCTTGCGTGATGCCCTTAGAATCGCGAGTTAAGATTTGGTTTTCAACTTCGTTGATGTTGCGATTAATCGAAGTCAAGAGCTGCTCCCAACCGACACGTAGAGTTTCCATAGTGTACTGAGTGTACCTAAAAAACGATCGAATTATGATTGCATTAATTTTTGCTTCGTCGCAAATAAGTATTCGTTGATTAATTAATTACCTGTTCTCGAAAATCATACTTTCTTGGACTGCTTGATGGATTTTCTCGAGTTCTTCGATATGCGGTTTGTACGCGTATACACCTTGTTCGTATTCCTTCAAACGATGCAATTGATCTTCCAGAGTACCGTGAAGACCCATTCCAATAGCAGTTACAGCATCCAATTGACGTTCAATCCATGGACCGACAGCGTTTGCCTTCTCACCGAATTGGCGACGCAACATCTCGTTATCTAAAAAAAAATATAAATATAATAATTTTACAAATATACAAATAATAATTGTATACGTACTTTGTTGTTTCCTAAGCTCTGCCTGCAGAGTAGCATCCCTTTGTGGCACCAATTGCCTAACATCAGACCACTTCCTGGTTAAATCCTATCAAAAATACAAAACGTTACCATCCAAATCTTAATAAGTATTTTCACATCGATATATATATAACGACAATAAATGTTACCTCTAGATTGCCAGTTATTCCTTCCTTAGCGGCACGGAATATTAATAGTATTTTAATGCATTACTTAGGGAAATTTAATCTGACCGAGTATCGAAATTTTATCATAAAATGTTAATAGAACAATTTTAAAACTTACATGGGCAGTTAAAGTAGTGTAAGGATTCTCCAATCCTCCAGGAACTTGGTGTTGTTTGACGATCGATTCGACTTCCCTCACTAAACCTACAATGCTCTGGAACTCTTTATCAGCCTCTCCAAGAGTAGCCTGAAATTGTAACAGATTATAAGTATGACAATTAACTGTTGAAAAGAGATTACCTTAAAGTGAGAGTGAGCATCGATGAGACCTTGAATTTCTTCAACAGTGTGGACAATGAAAATATCCACAAGATCTTCGCGGGTTCCATCTAACCAGTTATTAAATGGAGCAGCGCGCTTGGCGAATTCCAAATGTAAGATGTCGATCTTCTCGAGAATCCTCTCGGCATCATCCAGAGCTTGGCGACGACGCTGGGTCAGAGCTCCCAATCTGTCCCATTGATCGCAGATACGTTGACAACGAGCGTTGACGCTGACGCTATCATGGTACTCAAGAGTACTGCAAAGATAAATGATTAGTTTAAATACAAAGAGGAATATATAATAACTTACTTAAGTTCCTGAGCAATAGCAGCGATCTGCTCAACACGATCTTGATGGGCGGCCAGGTCAGACTCGAAAGCTTCGTGCTTCTTTTTGAGAGCCTTGAGTTCGTTGAGACGGCATTGCCTGAAATCTTGGCTTTGAAGCATCTCCTCCTTTCCGCGGGTCCATTCCTCGTGAGCATCAGCTTTATGCTTGAACTTTTGAGCCAAATGCTCCAGACGTTCCAAGCGCATCATCTCAGAAAGCAGCCATTCCTCGAAGCTCTTCTCGGCTCCTTCCAAACCTTTCCATGCGTTGGCAATATCCTAAATCCAAACAAATGATGGTTTAGTAAACGTTTCAAACACACAACTACAGTTACATACGGAAACCATCTTTCCTTCGGTAGGCATGTAAGCTGGCCTGTTGGACAACCTGAGTTTGGTTTGCAAGGTGTTGAAGTTGGTCTCCAACTTGGCTTTCTGCTCAACACGTGGTGGTTTATGTTTGCGCCTGTAAGTGCGGTATTCTTCTAACTTCTTCTGAACACCGGCTAAAGAGTTATCAGTTTGGCGGGATCCTAACCATGGCATGGTACGACGGATCCATTCCAAAAGCTACAATATTTTTTAACAAAATGTTATTGTTCGTTTCGAAACATTAATATTGAAATGTACTTACGTCGCTAGCGAGTCGTTCGTATTCCTCCATGAGGCGTTCGTTCTCTTGATTCACTTTCAAGACTTTGCAAATCCTGTTGGCTGCAGTTTCAGCCTAAAATTATGATATACAAATTGTAAGTGTCTTATTCATAATTATGTAATAGAAAATCGGTGAGTTTCAAACATTAAGTGCTAATTTATAAAATATGTTATTGATTGCAAAATCACCTTTTGGATGCCAGAAAAGCAATGGTAATACGACGAAACATATGTCATAACAGCTCGTTCATCAGGCATGGCCGTATTCTGTAAGTCTGCATGCAATCAACAATATTAGTTAAACACAACAACAACAACAACAGTTAGTTTATAAAAGTAAAATAGAAAAGCGACATCAAAGTACAAAAAAAAAATGGTTTTAGTTATGTTTCTCGACATTTTTTTTGACAACTATTATGCAAACGCTCTTGTATTATTATTAAACATATTCCACACATTTTCTACCTGTTGCGCTCCTTGGAACGCATGGTAGTAGCATGACACGTAAGTCATGATTGCGCGTTCGTCGGGTTTAGGAGTGTTGATCAAGTCTGTAAATATGTTTAACATACGACATTAACAAAATTGTTCCGACCCTCTGCTGAAAAGATGATGTTTTTTTTTTTAAAACGATTGTATAATGTGTACGCACCATCAGGATCCAACATTCTCGGAATGTCGAGGTATTTCTCGGCAACGTCGAAGGCAGTGTTGAGATTTTCCATTGGATTATCCTTGGAAAGTTTGCTGTAATCAATGAGGTCGGGTCGGTGCCTGTGAATAAGAGCACAGAAGGCCAGGCCATCCTTAAAGGACAAATGGAAGTTCTGTACGTTGACGTTCTTGTAGGGCGCGGTTTTGCGCTGGCACCACAAGAGCAATCCTTCCTTTGCGGTCATCTCCTCGACGGAGATGTCCTGGATGGCGAATCGAAGAATGATTGTCCAAATCATACCAAGAGTCATCTTTAAGTTTCCATCGACGATTTCTGCAAAAAATTGAATAACAAATGCGAACTCAATAATAAGAAAGCAATTCAATTGAACGATATGCGAAATTCAGATCTCGGAATCATGTTGAAGTTCTGCCTTTTAAATCACAATAGAATAGAAACGCTCTGAGAATAGCTTTGTGATCTGTATGTAGAACGGATGAAGAAGAAAAAAAAACACACACACGGCTAAAAGTACATCGGTCGGAAGAGGAAGTCCCGCTATTATATAATATATGGTTTATATAAACTAAGTGATAACAAGAATGAACATCAGCAATAAAAGTATATATATCGTTCAATTCGGTGCGTGTTTGTCTATTTGAACAAACTTTACTATTCATTATATTTTATACATGAAAAGTAATATAGAAAATAATGTATTACATTTGTACCTTCTGCTCCAATAGAGACTAATTTGACGCCCTTGCTTGCGATGTAGTCAAGTGCCTTGTTGACATTGGCGATCTTGTGGAAACGCATTTTTCCGCGATCCGGTTTAGGCAAGGTTTCGCCAGAGATGACTTCCAATAGAAGCATCAGTTTCAGCCCGTTGCGGAAATCTTCGTCGATGTTATCGATGCCGGTGCCGGCTTTGCGAAGATGGCTGTTACACCATGCCGTGAACGTCTGAAACAAGAAGCAACAACAACACACATAAGTAAGTAAGTAAAGTAAATACAAAATAAAAACAGGTATATGTGATAATGGGTTTTTCTCGAGAGCGTAACATGTTTTCTCTTTTTCTATTACCTACGATAGGCACACATGCATTGCGGTGTCAGTGAGCCATCATGCATCTGCCGCGAGCCAGCATGGTTACTCAAACTTCCAGCAGAAAATAACAGAAGAAATAGCTGTTAATTCTTCTAATTAATACATTCCACCTGTATAACCACGGTTCCAATATTTAAAAACATACCACATATCTTCTATATGAAAATAATAACTATGTTAATACATTAATTCTAACTTAGTGACTCAACGGGAGTAAATGTTCAATTTCTAATTATAAAAATCAATATATAATAATAAGTAACATTATAGTATAACAACGTGTGCCCTATATAAGACATCATTATGACCAATGTACATGGAATGTTGTAATTACATCTGATAATTTAATTAGTAATTAATCAAGGTCAGAACTACTACAACTTGAAGACGCTACTGCCTCAATCAGAAGACCGGTATTATATGTATCTTTAAAATAATATCGCCATGGTCAATATTTTATTTAGACGACTATATGAAATAAGATTGAAGGATATAGACCATTGGAAACGGAATTGAATTTGGGTCAATATTGCACATCTCTAAGAATAAGTCAAATCAACATATGTCGTTTTAGGACAAACAAAATTACGATCCTGTACAACAACAACCAAGAACCAAGAGAATGTTGTTAATACGCTGCCCGTTCGGTATGTGGACAGAGTTAACTGCAAAATCGTATCGGGCGCCTAAAAATAAGAGGAAAAACGGTAGCGGCTCGCCTATATACAACATATGTATCTCTCGCAATAGATGTGTATTTCCGGATTCGAGACACTCGTCTTGAATTCTCTAACCGGACCCGAATTAAATTTATAAGAATCCAAGGCGACCCGCGGCTTTACTTGAATTATATGACGCGACCTGACCTAAAAATAAGAAGAAATAATTGTAACGGTATTGAAATATCTCCAGACTCTTTTTTTTTCTAACAAGTCCTACACGTATTGACAATTACACACAATTATATAATATAAATTACAATAAAAGACGAGATGTCTATAAATAATGCAAATGTTTATATAACGCCATAGCTTTTTACTAGTCTCCATTCTCTGATGATCCGCGCACATTTCCTTCCATCTGTGCGGGTCGGATAAGGTTCAGGTCATTTAGTTAGAAAGTTAAACAGGCCGATCACTCAGACGAATCTTTATCTCACTACGGTCTATTTCTTATTGCTAATCATCGAATCCAATAAAACTAAAACTGCTGCAGTAACAGTTTAACTTCATTGTTCTGAACAGTTGTTGCGACCGTGAATTATATATGATATTTCTGTCACGAGTGAAAGGTTCGTGCATTTTTCTGTTTGTATAAAAGTAGTAGATACCAGATCAAAGTATTTTGGTCTTCATAATTCTATGAAAATTATTTTTATAACTTTTATACGCATTATAAAAATTTGACCTAAATACATCAAACGCGTAGAAAAATTATAAAAATATATTTATTAGCGTCATAAAAAATATTGCTGTAACTTCTTGAATTTCAAATATAAATATCTTAAAAAAAATTATTATAATTTACAATATACATTTTAATAAATATTCTATTATTTTATATTATTAGAATAAAGAATGCGATTTTCAGTTTAATTTTAAAACTAGTTGATTAACATCTTACTAATAATAACTGTATGATATTAATAAGTAATTTGACGAATATTTGAAAACGATTAAACGAATTTTGATCATTGTTTACATTAAGCGAGAACAATACATCGAGAGTGGTTCAGGGTCATATTTTTCTCCGAGTTAATTAAAGAGAGTTTTGGATATTTCGTTTATCAATTCGCGAAACTGGGTCAACGTGGACTTTTATCGTCACGGATCGTCATGCAATCTGTTGCTCTTCATTAACATTCTAAGCTAAAATAAAGAAGGAAATGGAATTCCTTACAAAAAAAAACAACAAAATAAAAAAATGTGCACGGTAACAACATATACGAGCATAGATGATAGATAGATTTCCAGTTTTATTTGTAAGTGGAATCGAAAATGTGGATTCAACGTGACACACATGCTGCTTGCTGCTGCTGCCGAGAACGGGTTCCGTTTGCATATTAGAATTGAAATGGACCGTTGCATTTCGAGAGGAACTCAATAAGTGATGTGTGTTTCGTGATCGAAAGTAGTGAATCGACTCATTATGAATATGACTAAAAAAAGGTGGGCTGAGTCAACGACGAAATATGTTTGCTTGTTTTTGAAACAATAAACACGGCCTGCTATATCGTATCGGGCAGGTAATGGCAGTCGTAAACAATAACAATGCCATATTAACAAAGGGGAAAAAAAACAATCATGTTTGTACAATTCGATCAACGTGGAAACAAATTGCACACACTAATGATATTATTACAATCACACACCAAGCCTACATATTTGTGATGCTAATGAGCGCTGCTGCGAATATTCGCTTAATTATAATAAAATCAGCGATATTTCGTTCGCGAGGAATGGAGATAGTTGAGCCTTCGGAGATCTAGTGTATTTATAGTACCAGTTATTTAAACTATCCATTCGAAATCAAGAATGATGCTGTCGCTATCTACTGTCTCCAATTATTTATGGGTCAGATTTTGCGAGGTTTAATTTCGGAAGCGGGAAATAATATTCGAAGATTTAACAAATATGAGCGTCGACTTGGAGAGCATCGGCGCGGCGCGCCGCTTGAGATACGGGCGTCGGCGCGGTTCTAGAAAAAGATAACAAAACGATGGTTTCGTGGGCGGGAGCGAGATGGACTCATAGGCGTCGGATTTCCAATGACCAAACATGGTTTCGGCGGGCGCAACGGCCGCGATTTGTAAAATATTCCTGAATCGGATGCATCTGTACACTCTCGACGCTGGACAACGAAGGGCAACACTTCCGGTAGGCCAGGATCCTAACTTCCTAATTTCGTAGATCTGCTCTTATTTCGAACTGGTCGTTTTGTTTGTTCCGAGCTAAGCAAAACCTGGTAGCTATTTATATTGGAGGTACAGAACACCCACGTGCTGTCCGCAACGAATTATTTTTATAATGCCCCAGGCCTAAATATATATATACACATACGTGTGTATAACGAAAAATTCATGAACCTCGATAGAATCAAAGATTTTTCCGTTATGAATTCGATTGAAATAGATTCCATACACTATAAATAAATGAAAATTCACTTTCGCCCGGTTCTTCGTTACCATGACGCTATTGGGTGAATAATAATAATAATAACAAAAGAAAAAAGGTCGCAGCTGGCTAGACTTATCGTGCGCATTTTGCAATTTAAATATTTCAGATTTTTGCTGCCCCTTTGCGTAGTAGAAACCGCGAACGTCAGTGTGTGTGTGCAAATAACTTGGAAACCTCTTGCGCGCATGAATCATATGTGGAAAATGCAAACAATCGGTGTTGTTTTAACCTAGAAAAGAGGTGATTATCATCATCATCATCATGGACATATTTTCTTTCTTTTTCCTTCCAGTAGAAAGTGAATGAAGCGTAAAACTGAGACAGTTAAAAATACTTTGAATTGGAAAAATTTGACGTGACGTTATCGAAAACCAGTAAAAATTCTTGGATTATGAGTAACATGCTCCGAAAAAGCCGTCCCACTTATTTTCACGTCGCCCCATCTCGCATTAAACAGCCATATTATTTCACACATCTCTGGTCTAAATATATATATATTTATCGTAGTATATAGTGAAATGCGCGAATTTTCCTTGCAGTCTAGGATCAAATTAAAGAGCGTTGTCCTCCAACGAAAAGAAACGTGCTTCGAATGCGATCGTCGCGTATTCTTCTAATGCCTTCATCAAGAATTTGAAGAATAATACAAAAAAAAAACAAACCTCGCCTAGTTTATAGAATTTTAACGAGAAATAGCAAATAACGAGTTACTGCTAGTCCTTATCTACTAATAACCACCTAGTTTAAATAAAACTAGGTAACGAAATAGCATTTAAATATCACTATCAGAGCAAATTTTCTTATCTATGAAATCTTGAAATCTAAATATATTTTTCTCCCATTTGTTGTATACATATTAAAAGTTCGGTATTACGAAACAGGTGGATGTAATTGATCAAAACATAATTAAATAAACAAACAGTCTAATTGCGTTCAGTCCATGGAGCGAGCGAGCGAGGCGAGGCGAGTAATATAATTGAATAGAAAATAAAAGCCCGTCTCCTCTGGAAAACTATTTAAAAAACGCCAACGATTTTGGCCCAGTGCTAAATTTTACAAAAACATTACATCACGCGTAAGGACCCAATGACGAACACTCACTCCCTGGGATTCACCAAAAATAGTCCCCGTGCATATTATGTTACCTTCGAACTATGTTGCCATATTAAATTCAATTTCTTGCGATTTGCGGCGCTCACCAGTTGGCGCGTTCGAATTTGCTGGTAATTGTGCGTTTCTTCCTCTCATTTCTATCTATCTATCCATATTCATTTTCCTCCCGCACTTGTGTAATAGGATACACGGATTACGGAGCGGAAAATATGAATACGAAATTTACTGTGTTTAATATAACTTTGGATGGACAGGAATAAATCGAATATGACTATTAATAATGTTCCAAACATTTGGGGCCTAAAAATTGGGCTTTTAATATCGAGATTTTTAAAAAAATAACGAAACCCAAGTGGAAACGTTTCAGCTGGCAACGTTGCTCCCCCTTGTTGTAGGAGCGAGTGTGTGTGTGTGTATTCGAGTGCGTATAGTGTGGGTAACATTTATAGAATTTCATTCAATAAATAATGACGCTCTAATTATGTCATCTGGCTCTGCGGGCTCACGAAAACCGAGGTTGACGTTGGGCTTGGTTCGCACCGTAAGGACTTGCGAGTGCTTTGCACTCACCCCTATAGTTGCGCAAGGTTAGGTGCTTTGTTTACAACGAACAGCAGCAGCAGCAGTTACTTTATATGCAAAGGGACATAGGGGGTGAACTGTGTGTGATGGTTGTTGTTCGATACCATCTCTTTATCGTCACCCCCTTTATTTTTTGAAATAGGAATGAAGCGAGCTCCTTCATCTCCTTTCATTTATAAAAATTACCTTTTTTTGCTGTTTCTCCCAAGCTGGATCCAGAAGACCTTCCCTTTCCCATTCCTCCTCTTGCTCCATGTACCCGTCAGCCATCATGCCGACGTTGTTGTATCCATCGGTGCTGATCATTTTGGCGGTCTCAACACAATCTTTGTTGGTTCGTTTGGTTGGAAACCGATGCCGGCGTATCTACAGTTGTAGCTTTTCGTATTCCCAGCAGCAGATCACACGGCAGCACAGAGAGCTGCGCTTCGTTTCGTATATGAATTCAGAGCCGTGCAACAGCACACGACCTCACACGCACCTTACCCCACTAGCTCGAACCCGACTGTGGCGAAGGAATCAGACGCTCGACTGTTCGATGCACGCATGCGTCCCGAACCTCCTTCTATATTATACACATACGTAAATACACATACACTTTTGCTATACATTATTTATAGAAAAAAATAATATAAATATGTGAATAAATAACTTCGCCTGTAACGAGATGCAAGATCTTCATATTCACACATCACACAAATATATATATATAACACGTACGCCATTCAAATCGGCCATCACTTGCTTACAAATATATATCAACTTATTTTCGTCAAACAGCAAAGAAATAAGATCGAGCAGCTAAACTTCAAAAAAAAAGAAAACGATTGCAAATACCAATCTAAACGAATTACACTCATTATAAGATTTTCGCTCATCGTCTGACCTAAAGCTGCTGCCAAAAGTTAAGCAACTATAACTACAAGGATTGGTGACTGGTATCCTTCAACCATTTACTTAAATTAAACTTCTTTCAACTGAAATTGAATACGTTATCAGATATACCTTCAGATCTTAATACCTGTTGCGCCTGTCAAAATAATAATAATAATATTTTTTTTGAAATTCTTAATCTTAATATAACACAGATTACGAGCGTCTTTTAATTTATAATTTTCTATGTATAAACCACAAATATCGTAATTTGCAAGAACTTGCCATAAAAAATAGGTCACCTGGGTAACAAAGTCAAAACAAATAACAGCTATTTACACACACACGCACACGCAGACACATTTGTGAACATGTTTAAGTTAATTTATTTTGGAAAATCACAGCTGTTTTCGTTTAAAGATTCGAACGAACAAGAGCGCTGCATTAAAAGTCGCTAATCTGAAGGTAATAAAATCTTATGCATCCACCGCTTCGAAAACTTTCTAAAACAACGTTTTCACCAATAAAGTAATTTTCTTTTCCTACTATTTAATAATAATAATAAATCTATTGAATAGTACGTGAAAACTTAGCAATTTCTGAATGCATATTTACGTCGCTTTATAAGAAGTAAAGTAACTTTAACTTCAACTACTTGTGTTGTAGAGAAGCACAAATTAAGAAGAATTCCACTCTACATGAAATAAAACAACATCAGCTCTAGCCTACTATAAATTATATAATTCATTTTGATTTATAATGCATACGTTCGAACGATTTACTGTTACAATCTCAGTAAAAGCGCAATTCTAATTTCAATATACGTGGAAATACTTTACTAATCATTCAACACCTATTTGCACAATTCCTTGCATTTATTATTCCATTGTTTGTTTGGTGTTTACTTCGTTTAATGCAGTTTTATTTGCAAAATATATTTGTTGCGTTCAAAAATAAAAAAATGAATTTAAAGAAACTGACTGGCTAAGTTAACACCTACTTGAATTATAAGTAACTTATTGTTGTTTGTTATTTTTGGCTTCGCCAAATGTTGTCGTTTTTTGAAAATAGAAAATAAACTGGACGTGTTTTTCTTTGGTGTTGTCAATAAATAGATCAATCACGTAAGAGTCAATCATAGTTTTGCTCTTGGTTATGAGATAACGTAGATTAGTTAAGTTGGGTGTTATCTTCAGAAATTGCATGATTTGTGTGCATTTAATCACTCATCAAAGTACCGAATTTCTTGTTTCATATTTCCTAGTTAGACCAAAAACCATTCATATAGTAGTAATCTATTTCAATTCATTTAATAGACGTGATTTTTGGAATTGTGCCATTTATTTCTAACAAAATATTAAAGTTGTGGTGTGTAATAGAAATTTGCTTCAAGGATATGTTCGTAACGTAAATTTTGTTGTCGATATTCATCAGTTGTATGAAAAATAGGTAAAAATTGAAAGAAGAAATTTGATACAGTTTAAACAAATCTGTTAGTCAATTTTATCCTGATTCATTATATCGCAAAGTAAAGAAACAAGCAATATTGGTAAATTGAAAACAAGTTTTCGATTAAAGAATGTTTAAAATTCCGAATTAATCTATAAATAATATCTGACCGAAGTTCGAATTGATTGATATTTGTGGTGCGAGTATGAATTTAATCAATTTCCTTGCGAGCATCTTAAAAATTAAACAAGAAATGTAATTATAACAGAGCGTAAGTAGCTTTTTTCTGGTTTGTTTGCAATAACAAAATCTATTTGAAAATCATTAAATTGTATTCAATTCAACGGTTTGCGAAATAGTTGACCTTCATCCATACTCGTTACGTGATAGACTGTGTTATCTGCACAATGTAATACCGGATCCACGAATTTTTCGGACTCGCCGAATTTTTCAAAATTAACAGTTTTATGAAACATACGTGAATCATTAGTTTAACATCGGAAATAGATTGTGTCATTTTATAAACAAAATAATATTAAATAAGCGACAATTATTCACAATAATCAGGATGTATTGTTTGAGTTATTAATATTGATTAAACATTATCAATAAAATTACTCACTGTTGATGAGTAAATAACAAATATTGTCTTTCTAATAGAGTAACAAATAGTGTGTGTATATTATTATTATCAACTAAATACTATAATTGTAAATAGTATTGAAATCTTATTGAAAAACGATAGATTGTTAAGCGAAACTTCATGTTTAGAGGTAAAATCTTATGGGAACAGTCAACATGAAGTGATTGTTTGTACATTTTATAACAATTGTATAATATTTTCTTCTACTGACCAAATATTTTCTTATACAACTTTGTCCAAGATATGGCTGTAATTATTTTTTAAATATTTATGTATTTACTGTAGACGATCGTTAAGTATACATATTTAGATAATAAGACTACTGGGGCAGACAGACCAATAGTCAATAGACCTTAATAATCTACTTGCTTCCAATACATTTTAGCGAATTTTGATTCAACAAAAGTATCAATACAAATGTTAAGTTTGCATGAATTATATTAACTCTTTTGAAAATATTTAAATTGTTTGATATAAATGCAATGTAAAGCTAAATTAATCTTAATAATGAGCAGATTCACGATGATAATAAAGCTTAAAATTAAGTCCTGGTTCATTACTTTCAGTAGCTCCTTCTTAATTCAGTTTTATTTTAAATTATCTATTCTTAAATACGAATAAGTTCCAAAATTTCCGGATTTTTACTCGTATAGTGAAATTACGATAATGCCTTCCATGTCGGAGAAAAAAAGTAAAATTTGGTCTCGATTTTTAATGATTTTACTTTTCATATCAATGGTTCTTTTCATTCTTTGGCTTTTTATTCGGAGACATGCAAGTGTTATTAAATTTTGCACAAAAAAAGAACAAATAACATGTCTAATCACAAACAACACTAAGAATGACCACTAACACCAGGAACTGTTTTCCAATTCACACACGATGAAGTGATTTTATATTTGTTTATATTACTTGTATCAATTCGGGGACTTGTTGGAAGTTTCTTTATACTTTCAATATTTGTTTATATAAAAAAGCGTACATAGTGTGTTTATATATTATAATAATAATGGTTGGACACAATACATTTGTGTTTTGTATTTACAGAAAACACGAATTATATTTGCAAAGTATAGTCAAGAATACACATAATATGTGTACACAAGTTTTGAAGATCCTGGACTTCTCTTCTCATCGTCGCTCGTTAAGCGAGTCATTTTGCTCGTTAAGCGAGGTTCCACTGTATAAATAGAAGATGTTACAGTTTAATAGAAATTCCAAAATTGTATTTATTTTTGTATAATTAATAAAGAAATAATAATCAGTTTGAAGCGTTCATTGCATTGAGAAATATACAAAATTATCTTACACTAACTTGTAATATATTATAATACAATAAAGGTATTATTCAGAACTTCTTCAGTTTTTGATTAATTCGCGGATTCCATTTTCTTCCTAGCTTTGTTGATAACAAACTGCTACATCGTATTATAGTTGCGGCGTGGTATCACGTAACATAATGTGGTGGCAGCAGAAGCTTCTGCCTTTCAATGGATGCAATCTACATTCAATGGAGATAAGAGAGTTGTGTAGTAGCGAAAGAGATGAGCCTACAATCATTATTATTATGATGATGTGCGGTGTGCAATATATTGTAGGAGCCGCATCGACTCACAACACACCATGTTCACTCGGCCCGGTATTGACATGCACACGATACCCATTTGCTACGCACTCATTGAACCAAATGCAAACATTTCACACGACACCACACCGCAAATTTTACCTATATAAAACCATTGCACCGATCCATGGTTTGTACAGTGATCTCTCTTAAACAAGAACCAACAAATCCAATACGAAAAACCAAGATGTCCAGTTGTTGCCAAGGTAAGTTTCTCACAAAATATTTTGCTTTTTCTCCATTATTTTTTTTACAAACTTTTGAAACATTTAATCAACTTTTCCAATACTCTTTATTTAACATATTTTTGTGTCTTTATTACTTATAGTTTAGTTACAGAATGCCTCTGTAAACTTTATCTCTTTCGGCATTTATTCTCAATGATTATCAATCTTCTACTTCTTGTAGAAGTTACATAGCTTATTTATTTTCGTGTAGCTTGTTAAAACGTATTTTCTATTTAAACTTTTGGCTGGTTAATCGACCTTGCTTGACTAATTTATGCTCCGTTGAAATGATTTTGTCTACCCATTAAGAGTAATTTTTGATGTTTACTTAAGAGGTCCGATACGCTTCGGTAACTGTCTAGCTACCAAACCGAATCTTTTCACGACCAATGAAGCAAATTCTACTGTCGTCGTAATTGATTGCCTAAGTCTTCACGGTCCAAATTCACAGATTTCTTCGCTATTTTCAACATTCCACCTTATTTTCCAATAAATCGCTTCTGACAATAACACGAGTCTCGTGACTGACAACAACAACAACATGATAAAAGGCAGCAATTAGCATTTTCCAAAATGTATTTACGCGTTGCCGTCAAGTCAACTGAAACAATTGCAATCGATATTAATTGCCTTGTTTACATATTATTTCAGATACCACCAAGGTCTGCAAAATGGACGAAGCGAGCGATCCATCGTGCTGCGCCAAAAAGGAAGATATGCTCACGATCCATTGCGAGTGCAAATGCAAGAACACCAATAAATCTGAATCTTGCAACTGCAATTGCATCTGCCAAGTGGACAAGACCAAACTTATGTCGGCTTCTGGTGTGGTCAAATGCAAATGCAGCTGTCAGTGTTAAGCTTTTGTAACTTCGCAACTCGCTTACGTTGAAACATAATATAATGCGACTCTTTTGTACATTTCAAAGAGTTTATTTTTTTAAATTTAAATTATGTAATCGTCTTTCGTTTCTTCAATAAAATTTTGTTTTAAATATAAAAATATTGTTTTTCTAACATTTCATTATAATCACAAACACAATAATTGAAACAAACATAAAAATAAATACAAAAGAAAATGATTGATATTCATTGAAAACTTGTTAATGTACTTTTTCGTTAACAAGTTTTCAGTATTTATAAATGTACATTGGAACCTCGTTTAACGAGTTTAATCCGTTCCAAAACATCCGGATTTTAACTCGTATAGTGAAACATATTAAAAATACACATAATATGAGCACACAAGTTTTAAAAATGATGTAGAATGCACGAAATTCGGGACTTCTCTTCTCATCGTCACTCGTTATGCGAAACATCGCTCGTTAAGCGAGTCATTTTTCTTACAATTAATTTTGCTCGTTATGCGAGGTTCCACTGTATTCCAATAGAGAAAGTTATCATAACTACTATAAAACTATAGATTTAGTATGACCTATTTTATAATCTTGTTGATCTTATCTGTTTCACAGGATTTATCTATTTTGATTTTTTTTACAATCTTCTAATGTTTGTACACAATAATATCGATTTTTCTTAATAATCTTGTTCAAATTCTACCGATTTTTATACAGGTTTAATTGAAATTATTGCTACAAGTATAAGTTTTACTTCAAGGTACAAGTACAGTGTAACTTTTCTGGTAAAACATGATTTATGAACGCACAGTTTACGTTGCCAATATTTCTTATTACTTCACAGCAAATTGACATGCACGATTTATAGTCGGGTAGGTTCATATTTCAGCAAATCGCAAATGTTGGGTAAGTTTGTAAAATATTTTCTAAAGATAGTTTTACAAAATTCAATGATTTTTCTTTTGGCAAGCAAACGCAATTATTCATAATTGGATTACATAAAACTTATTAAAAAAAACCTATTAAAAAATTATTATAAAATCAACGTTTCTATTTTAAACTTATGTTAATGTTAACTGTTTAACAGATAAAAAAACTTTTCAGTGCAGTGCAGTGTTTCGGAATGTTAGAACCGAATGAATTTATACATGGAAATATGTTTAAACACTTGTAATTGAAGCAGATACATTTGATTCCTCCTGAAATCAAAACGGATCTTTAAATAGTCTTGTATTTTAATTTACTTCTGTTTACGTTCCTGAAACTACCCAGATGTTGAATAGCATAAATGGTGAGATGATCGGAATAAAAGTTCTGCATTCATCCACCTTCTTTCATTTGGATGATTCATCTACCAAGCATTTTTTTCTTCAATTTTATGTACAACTTTAATTATAAACAAATGTGAAAACGCGTCGAGTAACAAACAAACTATTTGTAGATACTATTCATAAATATATATAATTGAGTCTATTTATATGTTTTTACCAAATCCAAATTAACAAAATAATGTACAGTCAATACTCGATCGGAATGCTGGCATTATTAGTGGATGAACGATTTTCATTTGGTGATGTTACAGAGTTCACTGTTTACACTACAATCTATAAATACGCGGCTTCATGTAATAACGGTTTAGAATGGTTTCGTATAACAAAGAATTGAAAATAGAATCTCTTCGGCTCTTCGTCCAGAAAAATGCACGACGTTTGTATAAACATGTTTTCTCCCCTGTGTGTGTGTTTTTCGAAGTTCAACAAACCGTTCGTTTCTTTTACAATTATTTACTTTTCTCCCGGTTTAAAAATAATATTTGGTAAATGCTAATTTTAAGCAATGCACAACCATGGTAAACAACATTTGAATAATTAACACTGATTGCAATTGAAATATTTTCAAATCTTAGAAGTTTTTCCTTACTACTGTCCACAGTGGCGGAACTTCAAAACTTACGAATCTCATATAAAATCCTTCATAGAAATCTCATAGAATACATTTTGATATTTACTTGTCTCTAATACATTCTGAAACAATCATTTCCACGCAATTATAAAGACGTATTCTGAGGACACTCAAATTCCTTTTACTTATTGAACAAAAGCCTTTTTACCTTTCAATATAGGTAAAAATTCATATAGTCCATAAAAAGATAGGAAGACTGGAAAATCTTATAAATAAAATCAATCGTTTTACAATTGGTCAGAAAAAGAATATAAATTGAACATTATTTTTATTCTGTGTAACATTGAATTAGAAACTCATGGTTAATATTCATATTAATTTGTTGTTCGTAGATGCAGCCAAAGTGTACAATTAATGTAATCATGATTAAATAATTAATAATAACAACAATATTTCCATTTCCAATATAGAAACAAGAAAATTGTAAAATGAATATGAATTATTGCATTGACTGTAGATCTTTCCTATCATAGTAATTAATAATAAGTCAATTGAAATGTTATTTCTTTTAGTGTTTATAGATTAAGAACAGCCACAAAATCTATCAGTAAACGAACGGTACGAATCGAATCTGTTATTGGTCGTAGAAGAAAAAATGCGACGTAATTCTGTTAGGATAGTAAAAGAAATGCTGCTGTGTGTTTCATCTTGTCAATTATGACCTCGTCCGAAGAACGGTATCAACCAGCAGATAAACGATGAACTAGATGTTCAATTGTTTTTCTCGTAATTTCAAATAGATTATTACAAAAGAATTGAAGAAAATCTCGCAACGAAAGAGTTTTAACAATATTGATTATTTATAAATATGTAAGTTTTTACGTTTCATGGTTTATTCAATGCTTCGTTTATGATATATAACGTACGTGTGCGAATGATTTCTTAAAATAAACAATAGGTCTTTTAAAATGTGTGAATAATAACATATATTTCTTTTTTGTTTTATTAACATATATAACGTTTCCTTTAATAATGTTCTATTTTAGTCTGTTTTGGCAGCTAAGCACCATAAGCGCACCACAGAGAGCGTTCTTAATCCATGATTTTGTTGCAGTATTTATATAGATGATGTTGCATATGGATCATAGTGTAATTGAAAAGTATCGATGAATTGATGGTGAAGGTCTGGTTGATTGAGTTTCAGGTGAAACGATTGTCGGTCAGGGATTGCGTACGCCTATGTACTTGGCAAGCAACTAGCGCAGCGCGCGGTATTCCACCAAACCATATGCACTAGTCGAGTTAGTCTATATAGTGCTTTTGACAATTGTATTTTAGTGATATTCCATAAATCTAATTAAATATCTGCAAATATGGTAAGTAAACAATTGGAATAGACGAAAAAGATCGATCGCTAGATGCCCTCTTATCGTATGCAGTGTAGATCGCACATCCAGACAGCTGAATCCCCCCTGTTAGAGGGACAAGCCCATTTCACTAAATATTATTTTGCAAAGAAACAAATGTTTTTATATTGATTATTTTCAGGGTAACGAAACCTCTCTACCCATGGAGCTATGCTCAAACTGTAAGTGGAATTAGATTCTCCTTGTTGTGCATATTCATCTATGTGACTCTTAGGATTAGGCAGGTTCATGTGCAGGATTAAAGGGAACATATATCATCAACCTACATTTCGTAGAAAATCGTTTTTTTTTGTTTACAATCATTTACATATCGCGATGCTATCAATTTATAAACTTACATTTCGTAACTGGACTGAACAACATATCGCACATGCTAAATCTCAACATTATTGATTGTTTACGTTTTATTGAGTTTCGTGCATTAACGTTGCCTATAATTGATATAGTTAACAGAACCCGTTATAACATAGACGTGCGAATCGCACTTTCTATATTGTAGTGTTCTCTATATATTAAAATTGCGAAATTATTTCTACAATAACATATATCTAGGTTATTGAATGTAGAACGCGTTCAAAACACTATTATCCTGCAGGTTAACGCCGTACCTGCTTCATAGTAAAGGCATGTGTTTATTGATCTCTTCATGATTTATTTAATAAGAAACACATCAATATTTCTTCTTACATGTACAAAATTACAAAAGCCCAGAATTTCAAACGGAAATGTATGATTTTAGTTGACGCCGATGAAATACGTCGTCTCGGGAAAAGATTCAGAAAATTAGATCTGGACAATTCCGGCGCGTTGAGCATTGACGAGTTCATGTCTCTGCCGGAGTTGCAGCAGAATCCGCTCGTTCAGCGCGTCATCGATATCTTTGATGCCGACGGCAACGGCGAGGTAGATTTCAAAGGTGAGTTGTGGCAGAGATCACCGCGATTCTCGTGTCTATAATCTGCACGCACTTGTTGCAGAATTCATCCAGGGAGTATCGCAGTTCAGCGTCAAGGGCGATAAGCTATCGAAACTGAGATTCGCGTTCAGAATCTACGACATGGACAATGATGGGTACATTTCTAACGGGGAATTGTTCCAGGTAATATTCCGTAGCTTTAGCATGCACAAGTATTTTCAGTTCCATTCGATGGTAATAAAAAAATCTAGATTTTGCGCGCGAGCGGTGGGCGTTTAATGTTATCTTTATTATTCATACTTAACATCTGAAAAGCAGATTTTTATGGTCGACCATAAAACCCCCAACATTCGTCATTTAACATGGACAACCGTAGTTTCCTACATTTGATCAATAAGTCATTTAATATTTATCTGCACCGTCTAAACTCGAAGGAAACCAATACTTCGTAACGTTTTTTAGTAATAATTTCGGATTTTACTAAGTAAACATATGTTTTCTTTGAAGTAGCAGCAACACAATTACATTTGTATATAGATGATGCAATAAATGATATAGCACATTGTAAATAGACACTTGCTGTGCTTAAAGTATTATACTTAAGTTATTTTCAATTATTTAGGTATTGAAGATGATGGTGGGTAATAATCTCAAGGACACCCAACTACAGCAAATTGTAGACAAAACCATCCTCTTCGCTGACAAGGACGAAGACGGAAAAATTTCTTTCGAGGAGTTCTGTTCGGTCGTTGGAAACACCGACATCCACAAGAAGATGGTAGTCGATGTTTAAATTCTCTGTTAATTTTTTTTTCTTTGTTTATGTTTATTTCTTGTTATTATTTAATTATTTTTATTGTTTGTTTGAAATTAACACCATTCTTTTTTTAATTTATATATAACCGTTTCTTTCGTATAAACTATCACTAAATGTACGCAACAGAAGATGAAGGAGGCAACATCAGATTAAAAAAAAACAAAACGTAGTTAGTATGTAGTATATATATATATATATAAAATGAACATTAAAAACAGTTTAATCATAAAAAACAAGCTTGTATTAAATGATTATTTTAGGGTTGTGCTTATTAACAGACATCACGATTACATAACTATTATATTATAAATGCTTGTAGAGCATGGATATAAAAGATAATTAAGAAAGTTAACGTTTGCGCTTGAATTATTATATTGAATAAAAGGCGGAATCGTGCCATTACTTAACGGATGCATATGCGGCATATTTGAATATTTATTATAGGATAAAATATATCTTAATTAATAATATTAGTAGAGGAATTATATTAGTAGCATTGGAGTCTATTGTTGGCTTTTAAAAAGTAAATTTGAAACAAACAAAAAATGAAAAAAAAAAATAATGCATGTAAACCTTGCTATTGTCTTAAAAAATAGTATATATATATACATATGTAAGTGCGTGTAAGTGTGAATGAATGTCCATTACTAATTTCTATGTGTTAAGTGTATAGAATTACCACTGACCGGATTGAAAAAATCAAGTATTTAAAGTAAATAGTAATTCGCTTATAACTTAGTTATAAATAGAGAGAGAGTAATGTACTAGGGGTTGTTTGGAATAAAACGCCTTTCGTCGTTCCAACTACGTCCTCCGGTAAGTGGATCACGGTGCACGATCCAATCTTACCATTGGACATAGTTCTTTATGAATTCATGGTGAAACGGAACATGTTGAAAGTTCCTCGCGCTTATTAATCTGTTTCGTTTACCAAAGGAAAATGCACGAACTTCGCGAGAGGATTTGAACATACGTCCTTTGCGTAAAACAGTTCATACTAATTTCGAATATGAAGTAAGATCTCAATTCGACGTATCAAATTTGAAATTCCGCAAAGGGAATTGTTTGATGCAAACACGATGTTGATGTTCTTCAATCCTCCTGGCGATGTTCAACGCGATATCTCTAGTTGTTCAGCGTTTGTGTTTGCAAACTTAGATTCTATCATTTAGTGTTTCTGCAATTATAATGCATATAACATATTTATATATATATGGGACAGTTAATCCACTCGCCTCTTGTATAAAAAAAAATATATATATGTAATTGTTCTTGTTTTGATTTTATGTTATTTAATAATAAAAAAAAAAGTTCACCTTTCGTTCATATTTTATTTATATTTTTTTTTTCATAGAAACATTTTTCAGCTAATTCTCAATCGACACTGGTAAGCAAAACAATATATTTAACTAATTTGCACGTAAATGCTTCGAAATAATAACAAACTCATCGGTTTTGTAATGCACAATCTACAAAAAGTGATGATGTTGGGAATTCCAATGGGATAAAGAACAGTGATTTTTATAGTAACAATTTATTAACTAAATTTGTCTTGTAGGAAATTAAAAGAACATACCTTTTTTTTAAAGAAACACGTAAACACTAATAAAATTCTCACATGGCATCATTTGGATGTCATAAAGATACGACATACAAATTGTAAATGCTTCAAATAAATGCAAACAACGAAAAAATGAAAACGAAATATAAATATATGTTATAATATATAATAAAAACTGACAATTTATAATATCAATTTGAACTCGGCCATCAGCGATAAGTGGTCGGAACCTAAATTCTCATTAGGTATTGTCACTGATGGCAATTTACTACCCACTGGTAGAGAGTATCTTGAGAGTAATACAAGTTTGTCTTCTTTAAAGTGATTCTTGTTTGGAGACTTGGAAGCGTTTCTTCCGCTACAACCGCAAACAAATACAAAATGGGAATTATATGTATCGAAATATGTTACCTGTAGAAAATATAATCAACGGTTAACCATCTGTTTTGATATGTTGTAGCTTCTGCACTTGGATTATCGTATATACTTTTAAATGCAAAATTGTGAGTCAAATAGCCGGTGTTGAACAGCGAGTTGTTTTCTTTCAGATTATCTGTCGCTTGCGGATAATCTCCGTGATGTAAATGCACGTACTTCCTTTGCATTTCCTGAGACATGTACGGTTTTTTACGTCGAGCCGCGACTAGTCTTACATGCTGGCAATTATCTAGTAAAAATAATGTCCGTGTAACAATAGATAGGCACAGAGAATACTGAGAAACTCACCAGAAACTCCCAATTGATATGGTAACAGGCCATTCTTTTGCACATTATCGAATGGGCACTTGGCCGTCAATAAAAGTCGCACCGGTGCATAGTTATACATAGAATTAAAATCGCCCGTTATTATTACAGGTACATGGTGACTATTTAAAAGCAAAACAAAGAAGACATTAATAATATCAATATACGTTTGAGAATTACTTACGAGACGTTGAAAGATACCCGATCGATTTCAGCTAAAAATAATTGAATTTGTGCTAATCGAATGTCGTGACGATTGGGATTGTAAAGTAAATGTGTGGTCGCGACAATAAAAGAGCAGTATTCGTATCCAATAGGCGCGAACTTGGCAATCAGTCCAATATTGTCTTTATTCAGGACACTGACATTGGGTTGAAAGTACTCTACCGTTTGAGACTCTATAAGCGTAAACAAATTCGAATTATAGAATATTGCACAGCCGTCTGGACAGTCCCCCGTTCTCTTTTTATAAAGGATAGTGTTGTAGCCCAGTTCAGACAAATACTTTCTGTAATAGGAATCCAAATGATTTTGTTGAACCTCTTGCAAACACAAGATCTACAATCATATAATTATATGGTTTCGAGCCAATAAAATCAACATGTATTTACATCACAGTTGTGCCTCTTGATTTCATTGTAAATCTTTTCAAACCGAAAGTTCCACTTGAGGCATGATTGTGCATTGTCCTTGTAAAGATTTCGGTGTCTTTCCAACAGATCTTGTGCCAGTACATTGTAAGACATTATCTTGAATGTAACAGAATTTTCACTGGGTTGTCCCCTCGATCTATTCACTTGTTGCCATTGTCGAAAATCAGAACCCAATTTCTCTGAAAGAAAAATCAATTTAATTATCTCTCTCTCTTATATTATTAGGCGAGTAAACTTGAAGTTGTCACTGATACCTTTCACAGATAGATCTTGTCTAGTGAGGGTCGATGCATTTTGAAATTTACTTTGTGTTGTTTGCGGGAAATCCATCTGATTATTCAAAACACTGCCCTGAAACTGTTTCTTACTGTAAGCCCGACGAATAGAAACATCTGGAGCTATCAACAAACGATTATTTGAAAAAATAG